ATCATTGGGCTTGAACTCTGGGCCTGGGTGCTGTCCCTCAATTCTTCAGCTCAAAGCAAGTGCTTCTACAACTTGTGCCACAGCACCACTTCCGGTTTTCTGGTGGTTCATTGGACATAAGAGTGTCACAGACTTTCCTGCCCAGGCTGGCTTTGAGCTGCGATCCTCAGATCTCAGCCTTCCAGCTACAGGCGTGAGCCACCAGCGCTGACATTAAATGTGAGATCCTCCTGCTTGCGACCTCCCAAGTGGCTGGAACTGCAGCAGTACGCAACCACACCCAGCTGTCATCACGTCCTGCTCTATCCCTTGCTATGGCCAGATTCACAGTTACTGGCTGAAGCTGAGTGGACATTAGAGCGATTCAATAACTTGACCAGTTAGTTACTCATGTTGGGACTAATAGCAAAGAGGAAGTGAGATAAAAATCTAGGTCACCAGAACCCAGGACCTACACCATTCCTGGATGAGACTCATTCTCTTCATGGCCCTGTCACTTCCCTGTGGCTTAACCCCACCGTTTGTGTGTGTGTGTGTGTGTGTGTGCGCGTGCGTGCCAGTATTGGAGCTTGAATTCAGAACCTTGTGCTCACCTTTAGTTTTTTTTCCCTCAAGGTTGGCATTCTACCAATTGAACCACAGGTCCACTTCTGGCTTTTTGCTGATTAAATGGAGCTAAGAGTGTCCAGGGGTTTGTCTGCCTAGGCTAGTTTCAAACTGCAAACCTTGGAATCTCAGTCTCCTAAGTAGCTGGGATTAAAGGCTGACTCAACAGCACCTGACCTTCAGTTTCACCTTTTCACTCTTCTACCAGCCTAACTGGTTCACGTTTGTTCCTGGTAGGGTCCTGCCTCAGGGCCTCCATACTTGCAGTTCCCCCAGCTTGGATTTTGCCTTTATCCTCAGCACTCAGATTCAACTGTGCAGACCCTCCAACCACAACACCTAATATTTCTTTGTACTGTGGAGTTGTGCTGGTGGCACGTTCCAGTTAATAATCACATTTTGGGGGGATTGGTTGTGGGACTTGAACTCAGTGCCTGAGTCCTGTCCTTGGACTTTTTTGTTCAAGGCTCGCCCTGGACCACTTTGAGCCGCAACGCCACTTCTGGTTTTTGAGAGGTTCACTGGAGATGAGAGTCTAAAGGGGACTTTTCTGCCCAGGATGGCTTCGAACCACCATCTTCAGATCTCAGCCTCTGAGTAGCAGGATTACAAGCGTGAGCCACCAGCATTTTTTTGAGACAGGGCCTCTCGCCAACTAGTCCTGGCTGGCTCCAAACTCTCAATCTTTTTTTTTTTTTTTGGGGTCCGGTCATGGGCCTGGGCGCTGTCCCTCAGCTCTTCAGCTCAAGGCTAGCTCTCTATCACGAGCCACAGCGCCACTTCTGGCTTTTTTTTTCTGCTTATGTGGTGCTGAGGAATCGAACCCAGGGCCTCATGCATGCAAGGCAAGTACTCTACCACTGAGCCACCTTCCCAGCCTTAAACTCTCAATCTTATGTTCTATGACTTCCCAATGCTGCGATTACAGGCAGGCACTACCATGCCCAATACTAGTATCGTTTTTGCTTAGTGGCCATTTCCTCTAAACTGTAAAGCCTCTAACACACACATACACACACACACACACACACACACACACACACACACAAATAGTGGCCATTTCCTCTAAACTGTAAAGCCTCTAACACACACACACACACACACACACACACACACACACACACACACACACACACACACACACACGGCCAAAGACCTGATAGACAATAGGACAGTAAT